CTAAGATTCATGAAAATGTGGTAGATGTGATGTACAGAAAGGTGAATGAGGTTCAACTAAGATCTCTCATGACAATTGTAAAAACTAGATGGAAAATAACTTTCTAACAACTGGAAGTCTACAACACTGTAATACTCTTTGAGCTGCCCTTAAACTGAGGCCCCAAAGCACCACTGGGGTGCCAGAGAAGCAATGTTTACTGTGAAGGGGAGGCCAAAAGAAGGGTCTTAAGGACCCTTCCAAAGCTACTAACAACATATATTCTATTAATGTGTGCATTCTATTCAATCTTTTTTTAAATATCTGTATCTTCTAAATTTGGCATTCCCCACTTGAGTTTATATACTTGTTGTATGCTATTATTGAGCATTAATTTTTAAGTCATAGAACCTTGGTTTTCATCATTTTCTGTTCCAAACCACTCCTTCTGTTTTCTAGCTTGATTTATGGTGCAACATCTTCCTACTTAACCTGGTTCAAGACCTTGGGGTCATCAATTCATTTCCATCTACTCATCTGACCAGCCAGCAAATGTTCACTTGAGTATCCTTGTCCTAAAGGAGCTCAAGGCCAAGTTAAATACTTGAATAAGCAATTATAATCCAAACAAATGAGAGCTACAGTAATGGTATTATTAGAAGCTATGTGAGCACCAGAAGGGAGGCCTGTGAGTCAGGGAACATTTTTCGAGTAGACAACTGAGTTAAGTTTAAAAGTTGAGTGCTTCACCCAGCAAACACTAGAGAGAGGAGAAAGCCACTGCTGGGAAAGGAAGTGTAATGTACAAGGGTTTGGAGCTATGACCAAACAGCCAGCATGGGAAACTGCAAGCTCTGAGGCATAAGTGAAGGGTACAGTAGGAGGGAAGGCTGTTCCCAGTGAATTATGATGAAATGTCATCAGCATCTACCCACTCACCCGTCAGAGCCCTGAAAGTTCATCCAAGAGTCCATCCTTCTCCTTCATGCCCCATTTCTAATCAGTCATCACATCTGGGAGAATTTATCTTCTTAATCTCTCCTGAATGTTTTCACTCCTTTTGTTTCCTTCATTGAAATTCTTTATTTCACATTCTCTCACCTCATCTGTCTTACTGCCATAGCTTATTATGGCTTCTTGCTGCCAGGTACATCCCTTTCCACCTGCACTCAGTCAGAGTGATCTTTCAGCAGAGGCCTCTGTTCTCCAAGAAATGATCCTGGACTTCCCCCTTCACCCACCTCCTCCAAACTTCCCCCAAATTATCTTATTCCTATGGAAGAACTTATAACATTCTATCTTGCACTACAGTTAGAGCCCAAAGAGACAGGCCATTCAAGTGATCGACTTTATTCATGCTCTTTCCAAGAGAGTTGAGTCCCACAGTCCTGCTAATTAGGTGGTGGGTGGTGGGACCCTGAACCCCTACCTCTGGCTAAAACTACTGAGCAAGGAAAATACCAATCTCAAGCTAGACCAGTAATATTTTCTACCCTAGAAATTCTGTATTGTGTTTCAACCAAATGAAGATAACAAGAGAAAAGAAAGAAAAAGAAAGAAATTCTAAATTGTGATCTAGACTTTGGTATGTGACCTGCAGAGGACTGGCAGTGCCATTTTGGGACCATGTCTGCTGTTGAGCAGGTAGAAGGCTACTGTGTAGAGAGAAACAGAATAACGCAGAAAGGGTAAAGATACGATGTGGTGGCCGGGCTGGTCAGGGGAGCTGAGACAGAAGGTGCAGTTCCTTTGCTGCCTTGTTAGTACTGAGTTTCTCATAAGGCCTCTATTTCCCGCTTTGGTTTTTAGAAGAACCACCAGTTTCTTATATCCCTACTTTTATTTAAATTAGCTCAAATGGGATTACATTTTTTAGGATCAAATTATCCCTATGACATTTATGTATAAGCCCTTCTGCATTAGATTATAACTTCTTTAAATAAAGAAACCATAGCTTGTTTACGTTTGCATTTTTCAGATAATATAGCATACATAGTACCTTGTACACAGTTGATCAACACTTGTCTCATGAAGTGACTTTAACTACAGAAGAGGGAAATGACTTTGGACTTGAATAATTTAGTAGCAATTACGTACACAGAGGAAGTTCAATACTTTTAAGGGTAGAGGTGTAGGGGCCAAGAAGAAATTCAGAAGGAAGCCACCTTAGCTAAACCCAGTTTTTAGGAATAGTTTATGTGGAAGCTAACTACACACATTCACGCCCACAGCAGGTACCATCTTCCTGGGAGCTCCTGATCAAAACCTGGCAAAGGGAGGACACCTAGGCAGTCACAGCACAGCATGTTGGGAACCAGTGACCTCAGCTCCTAAAGATCAGTAACGGATAGCCAGAACAAAATGGCAAGGTGATCATCAACATGCTCAACAGCTGCAGCCCTGACCTCTCATGCGAGAGGCGTCATTTGAGAGCTTCATTGTGAAAACTTGCCACGTTTTATTTCTTAAAATAAATTTTCTTTCATACGAAGATTTCAAAAAACATGTTTCTATAAAAGACCATTTTTAATGTCTTCATATCAAGAAGGTGTACAAAAAGCATAATTTTCCATCTAAATAGAATTGTCTTCCAATTTATTATTTTGAAAATTACATGATTCTTACATGATTAGCATTTTTAAATATTCCTTCCTTGGATCCAGCAAATGTGCTCGATGCTTCAAAGGCCTGACTCCCTTTTGGGATGCTGCTGTACTTTACCCTCAAGAAAAAGGTTCCTGATGGAGTAATGGCTAAGCTATTAAAAAAATAAAACAAAAACTTATAAAGCCATTCAAGCAGTAAGAGAAACTCATACCATGAAGATTTCCTGACTACACCCTTACAACCTGAAAACTAAGGAAGTAGTCCAATCAAGAACGCACAATGGGATATGACGGAAAAGCAGATAAAAGACAAGGTTGGATTTCCTGGTTTGATGTGAAAACTCTTCCCTTTTCACTGCCAAACAGAATGTGGCAGCACAATCAACAGGGGCCAGGTGGCACAGCCATTACTGGACCTTTTGATTTGATTGTGAGAAACTGGCAAACTTGTGAGGAGGATTATTTAGGGCTCAAGGGGCTGACGTCACTTCTGGATATTGAGTTAGGCTTTAGAATGATGATTCTGCAATCATAACACTTGAGAGCAAAAAAGAAAGTGCAACTATTCCTAAGTGACTCTGAGATCACATAAATCACACTGATCTTCATATAACTGAAATAGAGGCACAGGGTACTGTTTCTGAAATTGCATTAGTATGACACACAGATTTGACTTGGCTTACTTTGCTAGGCATAAGAAGCTAAGTATAAAATAAACCTGATAAAAGGAGCAGCACGTTGTGGCCATTCATTCACTGTTGGTTCTCATAACCACAGACCAAGTGGGTGCATCCTGTACAAGTTAGATGACCAACAAGCAAGTCACTAAACTAGTCTAAAAGTAAATATCAGAACAGGCTCTTTTCTAGATTATATACCTTACATTCATTTCCTATAAAGCATAAACCAGATACCATCTATAATAAAGGCCTAAAGATTCAGCTAAAAGTTAATATGGTTTTTCTTTCAAAATAAATACCAGTTTTAAGAAGAAAATAGGCATCATATTTGATCAAACATCTGGGTCCAGCAGTTTCTTCAGATCAAAATGAAGTGGCCATCCATGATGCTCTGGGATTGTATCATATGTACTTAATTTAGATTGATTTCTGACAACTTCCAGAAAAACATGGTACCCTTTTCCTGCTTACAGTAGGGTAATTTAGTTTTTAATGCCATAGGTGAAACCTTTGAAGATCAATACCAAAAAAGCACATTATTCAAACATGCCTTCATATTCACATTTTAAAGGAAAGGACCCTGGGGTCCCCTGAATATACCTGGACTTTGCATATTTTGACAGTAGTGTCTAAAAGGAGAGGACAGATTGGGGCAATGAATTCTCTGTACTCAAGTACAAACAGATGCATGACATAACATAAGGAGAGGCTCAGAATGTGCTTATATTTCATGCCAAAAGCCAAAAATGAGGTGATTGCCTGGTAATACAGACAACCAGTTGAGGTGGCAGCTAAGGGTAATTTCTAAAGAATCAGAACCAAACTATACCATGCACCATGCTTTAATAAAGAAATAATAATTAAAATACACAAAAAGTTTACCTAACAGCCTGAGTTCTACCTGTGACCTGTGGCTTTTCCTACCAGAGATCACCTACCCCAGGGCAAAATTGCTGTCCTCCTTCCAGTCCACGATGCGGCAGATGAACAGTGTATTGGCATAATCTTTAGGCCGTGTCACAAAGTCCTGGGGACAGTCCTTGAGAGGCACATAAATTCTAGGCACTCGGTGGTCTGAGGGAGAAAACAGGGCATATTTCCTAAACAGTTCGCTGTTCTTATCAGTCAAGAGTTTGAGGAAGCCAGTTGCTGCTCGAGAATGTTTTTTCTCCAAGATGTAAACCACCTGAAAACATCAAAGATACAGTCAATATTGTTTATCTGTAGAACTGGATAACAGATGGGAGAAGTCAGCAGGACATTATTATATTTGATCAACTAGCTGGATCCCACAGTTTTTCTAGATCAAAATGAAGTGCCTTTCGGTGATGCTCTGTGACTAAGTAATCTATATTTAGGTTGCAACAAGTATCTAGTAAGCATACATATCCAAGAAAAACTATGCAATACATGGATGAATCAGATGAAAGTGCTTATGAAGATATGTGGGATTTCAGCAGGGAAGTATAGCTCCACATATTTTTTCCACATTACATTTTTCTCACATGAACAATACCAGTATCTCATATGAACATCACAGTAGTTGCTTTTTTAAAAAAAAAATGTTATTAAACATAAATTACTGTTCTTAATTGTGCCTTCAACAGCTGAAAGGAGAAATATTTAACCTTCCTTCTTTCCAAGATTAAACCCGATCTCTCATTTTAGTAGGTGAAGATTCAGACCGCCACTCCACTACACGCACACGCTATTTCCACCAACAGAGAAGCATTTTCGAAGAAAGTGAATCTTCTCCTTCACCCATCCTGGGAGGGCATTCTTCCTGAACTGTTGCCTTTTCCCACTGTAGACAGATTGCAGTTTCATCCATTTGTTGGAATTACTTGCCATCATTCTACTAGATCTCTGAGCAAAAATTCAGACTGCTGTTGAGCTGGCTGCTGCTCTCATTCATGTCTCTGACACCACGTGGGGTTTCGGCCTATCTGCAGAGAACCTCTAAACCAGTGGAGGGTACCACACCTCTCCCCTAGTCACTCCCAGCCACTACTCCACAGGAAGGGGCACCTGTCTTCTCAGCCTCACTATATGCTCTACTTTCTTTTTTTATTTTTTTAAGACTAGTCAAGTGCAGTAGTGAGAAGGGAGGAAAGTAGTAGAACAAGGAGTTCAATCTGTAACTGACTGTGAACAATCAAGTGAGATAACTCACTACCTTTGGACCAGCCTATATGCTCTACTTTCTAACCCCTTACTCTTCCTTCCTCCTTGGAAAACATCTTTCTACTGTGAATAATCTGCTGTGACCCTTTTCCAGAATACTCTGGGGCCCCTCCTTGCATGCACTTGTTTGTCCTAAGGACTATCTGCCCCGGAGACTTCGGGCAGCGGCTGCTCCTTCTTCTGCACACAGCCTCGGAGGAGGTGTCCATGTTTTCCCATGCTGCACTGCCATGTCCAGACCTTTGCTCTTCTCTCATGAATGTATCTGCACCCTCTCCTGGTTCAGGCAGTGCCTTTCTTGTTGCTGTCATCCAATCACCTCCTGGTCACTTTGCAATACCTGGCTTACAGTCTGCCTCTCCCACTCTCATCCAGGTGAATGATTCAGCCAACACCTCATCCTCACAGTTCCCAGATCTCTTCAACACCAGTAGCCTTCAGCTCCATTCAACTTCAGCAACTCGCCCTCATGGCCACGCTTCAGCATCATGTGGAACTAGTCCAATCCTGACACCTACTCTCAGACTAGTCCATCACGCAGTTCTCTTGCTCTCCCATGCTGCACTCCACAGGCTTTTTCACCACATCAAGACTTCTAGCACCTTGCCTGTTCTCTGTTAGCTACATGGATCCTTTCCTCCCTCCCAGAGCGACTGTGTTTCATCACTTAAAGTCCTCTTTCCTGGGATGTCCACCCTTCTGGTCCTTCCACTACACCCACCTGAACAGTCCTCAATCCAGCCACTGGTATTCTCTAACCTTAAACACAAGCTATAGAGTTGATCGGCAAAGAAGAAATCACAATTGCACAGATCCCATTATACATTAATGTTATATAACTTTTGCTAGAACCTCAAAATCTCTGAAGATATCTTTTTACCTGTCCCCACTCAGCACAATCTCTTCTTTTATTCCCACTCACGGATGCTCTCCTACTGGGGCTCCAGTTATCTGAATGTTGAATCTTTGTTATTGTCCCCCAGCTCCCTGAGGCTTTGTTCATTTTTTTGTCTATGTTCTTTGTTCAGATTGAGTGAATTCTATGGATCTGTCCTCTACTTCACCGATTCTATGCTATGTCATCTCTACTCTACTACTGAGCCCATCCAGCGAGTATTTCTTACTGTATTTTTCTGTTCTATAATTTCTATTTGGTTCGTTCTTAGAACTTCTATTTCTTTGCTGACATTTTCCATCTTCTCAATGTTTCAAGGGAATTTTTAATTGCTTACTAAAGAACTTTTATGATGGCTATTTTAAAATCACTGTCAGATAACTGCAATAGCTTGACGCTGGCATCAGTTGACTGTCTTTTCTCATTCAAATTGTGATTTTCCTGGTTCTTGGTATGACAGACGGTTTTTATTTGTATCCTGGATCTTTTGGCTATCATGTTAAGAGACTCTGGGCTTCCTTTAAATCTTTTCATTTTAGAAGGCAGTCACCCTGTTTAGGTTTAGTATGCAGGTTCTAACTGACTTTTGTGGGCTGTAGTGACAATGACAATTTCACTTACAGAGTCTTTACAGTGCTATTTTGCCATTTTGGTTCATATGTTGCCACTGGGGCTCCCACTGGTCTCCACTGTTACAGCCTGTGGGGGTGGAAGGAATTTCCTCAGGCCAAGCCACCTGGTCTGAGTATGAAATGGGAATCTCCTGCCTGCAGGGACAAAGAGGCTTCCCCTTTTGGGTTTCTTGTTGTGGCAGGATCTCTTTACTGGTGCTACCTGGCTTCCTAGTGTTTTTCACTGGGAGAGGGAAGTCTCCAGCACACAGAGACAAAGAAGCTTCCTGGCCCACACACCCATTATGGCAGGATCTTCCTTGCTAATGCCACCAGGCTATCCGGTATCTCTGGGTGAAGGAGGGGAGACTCATGCCTGTGAGGACAAAGGGGTTTCCCAAACTGGGATGCTTGTTACTGGTGACCTCAAGCTGTCCAGTGTTGCCGCCGTGTAGATGAGAGTCTCAGGCCCATGGGGACAAAGAGGTTTCCTGGGCTGGGCTGGGCTGCTACTTCTGGTGGGATCCTCCTGATTGAAGCCACAGATACATGGTATCTCTCAGTGGGAGAGAGAAGTCTCAGGCCTGGGGGGAAGAAGAGCCCTTCTCCTGGCCACTTACTGTCATCTGGACTCCCAGTCAACTCCCCTTACAGATGCTGCCTGGATTGCCTGGTGTTGTGCAGGGATTTCTGTTAGACCTGAGTGAGGAATGAGTCTATCTGGGGTAACCTTCTACTGCTAGGTTAGGATTCAGAAACACTGGGCCTGGGTCACCTTCCGTTGATGAGGGTTATACCTGCCGCTATGTTTTTTCTCTAATTCTGGGGTCCCTGACTAGTTTGTCTTCCTTTTTTCACTTTTTAGAATTTTCCTTTGGTTGCCTCTTGTGTTTTTTGAGGGTTTATAGTTATACTTAGCAGGAGGAGCAAAAAGAAACAAGTCTATGCCATTTTGTCTGAACCAGAAATCCTTGCTTCTTGTCTTAATTTCTGACAGCACAGGAAGTATACAAAGCAGGTTGACATTACTGCATTACTTGTGATTCGTATAATACTAGTTATCATGGAAATGACTCTATCACAGCATAAGTTTACCATGCAAGTACTGTTTTGCCTTGTAATTTTAGGCTGAATTCATTAAGAAACACTATCCAAAAGTGAAGGGAAAGGGAAGAGGGGAGAGAAGAAAGGAGGGAAGCAGAGGGGAGGGGAGAGAGGAAGGGCACAGTTGGAGGGCAGTAGCAAATTACAGAACACAAGTTCCATCAACAGAGGGTTGCCTCTACTCAGCTCTGACTAAAGCCATTTAGGAACGTGGCTCGGTCAGTGTCGCCGGATATTTTGTTTTGCCAAGAGAGGCCAGAAGTCTAATTTTTAATGTGAACATTCCCCCTCCCTTTTTAAAATGTAAGCTATGAAGTCAAAATTTTTAAATACTGCACAGGTCAAACAAAACAGGTCTGTGAGCCAGCCCCAGCCTCCAGACTTTCCATTCATTATGATCTTCCACACCTAGCATGCTGCTTAGTGCATGGTTAGTACTCAAACGGCTTAGTGACATCAAGATCTGGACAACTGGGTGGGCAATGGGAGTAATATAGAGAGAGAGTATAATTTTTAAATTCTTCATGTTGATATGCAGGAGAGATACACTCTCAACCAACTTGCTAGGTGGAGTGAGCACAGTGCATTCCCAAGTTGAACACACCGATAGATGCCCCTGGTACACAAAAAGCCTCGTGATGTTACGCCCCTTGCACCACTTCTGCCACCACGAGTCAGCTGTGTTTGTTCCCCCATCTGCATATTTGCATAGCTTGAGTCAACTGTGTTTGATTCCACATCTGAGTATGCCACCAGCATGCATAAAGAATAAGATGAAATTATGCAAAAAACTGAAATAGGAAAATAAAACAATTGTTTCTATGATAACTAAATTGAATACTACAGAAAAACTAAAAAAGACTTATTAAAAATGTATTTTTTAATTAGGTATGGGCATGACAACAATAAAAAAACTGGAGCAAAACCTGTAAAAATCCAGAGGGAGTCTATATTCACATTGCTTCTCCAGTGTCTAATTCTCACTTCATTATAAATAACCAAAACTGGAAGTCACAAATGCCACATTACAAGTGTGGATTAACCAAGAAAGATGATGCGGAATTCCAATCAACATACCCATACTCAAAGAAAAGGCCTTGAACCTTTATCCAAAGGCAGGCAAACAGATATATATTTATATTTACAGTTATTTTTAAAAATTCACTTTTCATGATTCCGTGGTTCCACTGACTTTTCTGATTAACTGACCAACTACAGTCCTGACTGAATCACATGAGAGAGCTTTGACAAGTAGCTGAGATGATAGCCATTTGGACAAGTGGAGAAAATCTGTAGGCAATGACCTTTGCTGATCTTTGCAGGGACTTCTCTGGTAAAGCTCTTATGTCTTGTGACATGGAGGTGCTCTCATCTTTTTTAACTGGTGCACCAGCATCCTCTTTTCCTACATAAAAAAGAGAGAAAAAGAGAGAAGAGAAAGAATCAATTAGATGCCTATTGACTCATGGGATTTTCAAAATCAGATCTACCATTTACCCTAAACTACTCACTTTACAGAAGAGGAAACCCAGGCCCACAGTGGTTAATGTGGCCAATCATATCATATACCTATATTAATGCTCACACTGAGCACTTAGCCTCAGCAAGCCACATTTTATCTATTTAATATTATTTACATGCTAAACATTATACAAGTGGAGAGCATCGAACTATGTTAAATTAAACTAAATCACTTGTGTGTCAAATGCCCAAAACCTAGATATTAAATATTGTCCCAGCCCACAATGAAGAATAGAGATAGGTTAATTTATTATGCACATCTGCTGAAATAAAACAAAATCAAAATAAATGTTAACTTTTAAAAGTACTTTGGTACTAGCCATAACAAACAAAATGGTGGAAAATAGATTATATCTATTAAATAAATAAATAAAAAACCCAACCTCAATTTTCCTGGCTTTTCTTAGTGACATTATATAAAAAGAAAAGTACTTAAAGTCTTTTAATGTTTAATTTCCTTTCTTAAAAAACTTATAAAATGCACATTCACCCAAGAAACTGAAACCAAATCTCCCCAGGAAAGAGGCAGTTAGGCTCTGTAGCAGAAGTATTAAAAACACTCATGAACAAAAGCAGCAAATTACACACTTCTGAACACTTAAAATTTTGTATTTTCACTTGTTACATTAGATTTCCCCCACAAAGTCTTCTTCTCCAACTATAATATATTGGAGTTTCTAGATTCTAAGGGTCACAACCAATTTATGTGGGAGCCACTCCAGAGAGCTAACAGAGACTTGTACTTATCATCATTTAGACATTACCAAGGCCAAAATAAATAAATAAATCCTTTTCAGGACTGGCTGCTTCTTAGCAAAAGCTCAGTTTAAAGCCAACTTTTACCATTCTGGGCGTATTCTGGAAACACTGACATGATCTGACCTACTGGGGATTAAGAACGATCAACTGTTTGCTTTTCCATCTGTGCAGAAACCTACCTACTAAAGTACCCACTGAAAGCAGAATCCTCATTATTTTCCAAAAAGAAAAAGCAAACAGAAATTCTCCCACTGTAGATTGCCCTATCCATCAGCAAAAGAGGGATATCAGTCAAGTTCATCTTTTTTTTTAAGTTTTTAATTTTTAATTATCATGGACACATAATAGTTGTATATAGGGTACATGTGATGTTTTGATACAGGCGATATAATATAAATTAATGAAATCAGGGTAACTGGGGTATCCATCACCTCAGGCCTTTAACATTTTTTGGTATTAAGAACATTCTCATTCCACTCTTTTAGTTATTTTAAAGTATACCCTAACTTATTTTTGGTTATTGTCATTTTGTTGTGCTATCAAATATTGTTCCTTCTATCTAATTACATTTTTGCATCCATTAACCATCCCCACTTTATCCCCTCCTCCCTGCTACCCTTCTCAGCCTCTGGTAACCATCATTGTACTCTCTGTCTCCACAAGTTCATCTTTTATTTTAGACCCATGGTTCAGGATTCCAAAATCATCAGATGCTTTCAGAACATTTTTTATAATCTTAGGGAGAAAAAAACCACACAAGTTGTTGATCTGTTTGTTCCATAACATACCTTGCCAATGTGTTCTGCACAACAAGGTAATTCAGGAAAAAAATATTAATAGAAAGCTGGAATTACCACGAACAAGTACACTCAGATATCCAATAGCTGAATTTTTGGTCTCAAAAGCTAGCAACCCAGACAGGGTAGTGAGAGGACTGGTTTTTCCAAGGCAACCCAAATCCTGGGCAGCAGCTTTTTGTGACAGTCGCTGATAGGTCTATCTTAAAATAACTTCAGATTCCATGCCAACCACAGCAAGTCTTGTGTTACAAAGGTTATACCAGGTTACATCCAAAGAGAGGGCAAGCCATAGAAGTAGGCCCAATCATGATTTTCAGATATCACACTGGAACATGGCCTTTTCAGGTTCTGTATTCATAAGGACATCCTGGCAGAAATTAGGCTTTGTTCAGACAAAGTTACATTCTAATAAAACTGAAGTTTATAGCCTTGCAGGTGGGAATCATAGACATGGTCAATGGAGATAAAGAAACACAATGCCAGGTTAGAAAGGTGAATTACCTTAATGTTTCCAACAACTATGTCTTGCCACACTAAATAGCAAAACTGTCAATTTAATGAGAGAATCAACTACATTGTTTAATCACAAGAGCATTTATATATTCATCTATTCCATGTGTATTCATTGAACAGGGGCACCGAGAGGATTCAGTAGTGAGTAAATGAAATACAATCCCAGCCATCATGGAACATATAGGCTAATGTGGAATGATATTATATAAATAAATCACTCAAAGAATATAAAATTATAAATTGCGATACATGCTAAGAAGGAAAGAACAATCCCCAAAAGGAAAGGAAAAGAGCATATGATTTAGATTAGAGGTTAAGGAAAAGCCCTGTGAGGACGGGACATTTAAGCTGAGACGTGAGGACGGAGTGTACAGGAGTGAAGAGGGGGACAAGAGACCCTGGGTAGGGAATGGCACGTGGGAAGGAGTGGAGGCAGGAAGTTCTTCTCACAGTCAACACCAGAAGGAAGGCCACAAGGCTGGAGCACAGTCAGCAAAATGGGCACGGCAAGAAATGAGAATCAGAGGTAGATGGGAGTGAAGTCAGGTGGGCCTCGTAGGATGTAAGAATCCAGAATTAAAGCCTATATACAATGGCGAGCTGGCTGAGGATTCCGTGTGAGAGTAACATTGCCCGGGGCAAGATTACAGTAGGAGTAGTTGTAGGGAGACCAGTTAAGAGCTATTGCAGTGGTCTAGGCATGAGAGGACGGAGCGGTGATATAGGCATTGGAGACAGAATTAAGATACATTTTGGAGTTGAACTGACAGACATGGTCATAATTAGATATGAGAGCTTAAGGATTATTAGATATGAGAAGTGAGGGATTATTTCCAGCTTTCTGACATCTGCAGCTAGGTTGACAGAGGCATCACTTACTGGCAAGACGAGAGGAGGAGGTGAAAATCAAGAGTTCTATTCTGGAGGTGGTCGCATTTGGGAGGCCATCTGTGAGACCTTCAAGGGATGATACTGAGTAAGCAGTTCAAAATGAAGGTCTGAAACTCAGGAGAGAAAACTGGGCTGTGGCTTTAAATATAATTTACATGCCGAGAAATTCCATATTTATACTTTCCAGCCCAGGCTGGACAGGGAGACTGAAACCCAATTCTGTTCACCTACTAAATCCACAAGCTCTTCCATCCCTCCACACTGCTACGTGCACACGTAAGGAGTAATGTGGTGCCTGTCGCTGCTAAGGAAGAAAAATTCACTGAGGAAATGACTTGGGGCTTGAAGGATGTATAGATGTTTAGAAGAGAAATGAGGAAGTTGAAGGGCATTCCAGGCAAAAGCAAGAGAACCTGTGAAAAGCCCAGAGCTGTGAGAGGGCCTGGCGTAGTAAAGGCCCAACAAAAGATTTAAGGACACAGCACTCGGGTAGGGAGGGACTGCGATAAGAGGAGAAACAAAGCTGGTGGAGAGATGGGATAGGCCCTGTGGCGGGGACTCCAATTACTGCCCAATTATCTAGTCTCTTATTTCCCAGTAGTAAGAATTCCAATTTTTACCCAGGCATACTGCCACCTAGTCAAAAGATCACACCCCTCAGCCTCCTTGCAACTATGCATGGTCTGTATGTCTAAGTTTTTGCCAACAAGATGCAGGGGAAAGCGCTGTTAATGATTTCTAGGAAGTGTCTTTATAGGGTGAAGGCCCAGCCTTCTCTCTTTCCCCCACCCAGTCTCTCTTTCCTCCACCCTGCTGCCTGGAATGTGGATGTGATAGCTGGACCTCTGATCTTGGTCCTGGAGGCCACAGACAAGGTGTTTTCTACTCTGCAGTACAGCACAACAGAATGAGTTGAAGACTGTGAAGCTGACCTACAAGCCCTGGCCTGCCTGTTTCTTTGATGTGAGATAGAAATAAACTTGTTTTTTGTGTAAGCCATTGATATTTTAGGATTTAATGCTATTCTCAGCAGAACATACTTTCCAACATACAGGTCCAGACAATGAAACTGACAAGCCTGTACACTATCCCATATAGCATTATAAAAGCCAGGGAAATTTTCCTCTCCAGACTTACGTATCACATATATATTTGAGGGCTATGAATTTGGTAGCCCTCTGGAATGGAGAAAGATGATGGTAACACATCTTAGAAAGATGGGGTTAAAGTCTAGGTGAGACACAATCAGAACCTGAATTAAGATAATGGCAGTAATTAAAAGATTTACAAACTCTGACAAATCCAAGCTTGTTCTATCTCTGAATGAAGGGCCATAGAAATTTTCAATTTCCAAAGAGAACTCAATGACAACTGTAATATATATTTGTAAATAAAAATATGTCCCTCTCAGAGCTCTCAAAATCAATCAACTAGGAAAACTTATCTTATGAGTCCCTCTCCCCAGTGAAATGTAGAAATGGCAGCACAAGTCCTCACAGGGGCAAGGTAACATACACTGTGGATAAGCATTTGCTGTGCTGCAAGCTTGCCAGGCATAATGAGTGCTATGATTGTTCTAGGATCCCACACCCAGCTCCTGTCAGGGCAAAGGCCCGGGGATAACAGCCTTCAGGGGGCATCCATGAGCTCCCTTCTTCACAAAATTTCCAGGCCCAAGCACATTTCTCACTCCGAAATGAAACTGTGTGATGCCAGAGAGTTTCCATAGCATGTTCACCCACATCACCTCTTTTGATTTACAACTTCCTACTACGGGTAAAGTGGGTGTTGCTATTCCAGCTTCACTGAAGAAACAGGTAATGAAGAGGCAGAGCCAGTCAATGACAGCATGAAGGGATACTGGCGCTGGCTGTGGTAACCTGTTCTCCACACTTGCAAGAACTGGACCATTATGGGAAGA